GATAGAGGACCTCAGTTTGGTGCCAAGTTTTGGGGAGCCCTTGGCACTTTGGCTAATTTCCGAGTAAGCCTTTCTACTGCCTATCATCCACAAACTGACGGTCAGACTGAGCGAATGAATCGCACTTTGGGTGATATGCTGCGAACCTACGCTGGCAACAACCCTCGTGTTTGGGACACCTATCTTTCGGCTGCAGAATTCGCGATGAACAACACTGTCAATCACTCTATGGGACAATCTCCTTTCTTCTTAAATTACGGGTTCCACCCAGCTACTCCCGTCTCACGTGAACTTGATGTTCCGGTCCTGGCAGCCAAATCCTTTATTAAGTCGTACGTTGCTCGTATTGCAGAAGCGAAGCAGTGTCTGGAAAAAGCCATAGACCGTACGACTAACTATTACAACCACGGCAGAGCCGAAGTTACCTTCAAGGAAGGCGACTTAGTGCTTTTAAGTACGAAAAATCTGCGGCAGTTAGCCGTCGGACCTCGTAAATTATTGCTGCGGTGGGTGGGTCCTTACCCTGTGAAGCGCATGGTTGGCAAAGCAGCAGCCGAGCTTGTCCTACCGTCTGATATGCGCATCCACCCCACCTTCCACGTAACGTTGTTGCGGCCTTACAAGGCGCCAGCGGATGTGTTGGATTCTTCAACTGTTCGCGACAGTTCTTCTGCACTTTCTAGTCCTGCAGGACTGCCGCCGGTTCAGTGGCTGAAGAGCGATCCACTTTACTCGGTCGAGCGCATACTGGATTATCGTGCCCGCCGCCTAGGAAAACGCCTAAAGTACCTCGTCAAATGGACCGGGTATTCCAATGAACATAATAGCTGGGAGCCAGAGAAAAACTTTATACCTTCACCCCGAACTTCAAGCAGTCAAGGCTCGTGCCACTAACGCTGCGAGGATGCTGCATCCTGAGGGGGGATAGTTGTTGTGGCACACTTGCATATTAACCCTCGGATCTTTCCCCAATTCTCTGGCACTTTGCCGCTGGGCAATATCTTCACTCTTACTTGGTTAACCATTGGGCACTTGCCTATCTTTAATTGGGCGCTGGCCCATCTTTAAGCGGGCACTTGCCTGTCTTTATCACGCGTGATACTGGATTATAGCGCTCTTGCTATAATCGTGACACTTGTCACTGGTAGACCCACTTGGGTTACGATTGCACCGATTGGTGATAATTCGTGTTGACGACTATATCTTCGGACCGTACAGACTTCTGTACGGGTCATCCTAACGCAGAGGCATTTAGCCTCTTCTCATTCACTAATCGGTAGTTTTCACTACCACCTAAACAGTGGAGGTGGATACAACACATCTTAGCTGGTGTATCGCATCCGGTGTCTTTCAACACCACCATGACTGGTTGTGATAAGCATTAACTTAACATTGGTATCCAGATGGTGAAATTTTTCTTTCTGGGATTATGCTTTTGCGGTCATTTATTGCATTTTATCGTCGGCCCACTTTCGCTACCATTTTTCAAACTTCTTCGCCTCCATTATCTTCTCCAGGAATGAATACTGGAGCTTCAGCCGATCCGGCAGTCAACACCGTTACTTTGCAGCTGGCGGCCTTGGTGCTTGCACCGGCGCCTACGGTCGCTTCGCCCAATCAGCCTTCTGGGTATCAGCCTCGGGCTGTACCTATTCATAATGCCGCGGATCCTGCACCGCTTCCGTCGCCCGTCAATGGCGACGCTACCATGTCTGATTCCCAGCCGGCCACTGCTCCTCGGCGACTGCACCCTCTGGATCTTCCGCAGCCCGACCGACATTTCGATGTTTCGCAGTTTCGATGGAAGCTGCGGCAAAGGTGCAATTAAGTTTGCCCGACTACATTTTTTTTCTGGTCGACGATTTGGTTGGCTATCTCGACTTGGCGGGATATACACTTTCTGATTCGGCTGCCACTAATTGGGTCGTTTTGAGTGTGGGTCCTGCATCGTTAGTGTTAGTGACAGATCTTCACAAGTCGCTCTCAGCATTGACGCTGCCGGTCATTGACGCTTCTTGGCTCTTGAACTGGTTTACTGAAGCCATTGTCTTATCTTCGGGAGCAGTGTATTTTTTTCGTAATATTACGTTTCCGTAATAAAATGGCATATTCTGCACTCCGTCATAGACCATGGTAAAGGCCTGGTACGGTCGTTACGGAGCCGGGGCGGACCGAAGGCCCCCAGAGACGTTCTATTTTAGTATAAATAAGTTATATGAGCGGGGGCCCAAGAAATTAACTACTATAGCTGGTCAGGGTAGCGTCAAAGCATTCCTAGGTCAGGCCTGACCACCGGCAGGCGATGCTGGTAACACTTCAAACAATATAGCGAGTACAAGAGAGACATTAGAACCAGATGACAGGGCGCCTCCCGCACGGCGCCACGCTTCAGCCAGTCAATCCCACCAACAGCCTGTTGCAGGCCAGGAAGCAGCTCAGGCACACCAGGCTAGACGCCCGGAGCCAGTTGTATCACCATGATGAGAGGCGGTTCTCAGCAATGTCTTTCGTCAAGAATAAGCACCACAACCAGCTTGACAAGGCGGTGGAGAAGTGGCTGCAGAGGGCTGAGAAGCGTGGCCGTTACATGGACAACTGACGAGTTTGCTATGCCCTGGGGCATTGTACTGGCTGTGGTGTCGTGGTGAAAATGTATGACATAATCCTGAACGCATGTGGCAACGGACGGAAACAGCTGAGACTCTAATGAAATATTTATTAAATATGTGCTGGTGTATCAGGCAAGCCCCCCCAGAAAAAAAATTCGGGCAGTAATAAATGTATTGGACTGATGGCATATTTATTATGGAACTCGTAACAGATTCAGGATCGGCCTCCACGAAAAAAACACTCTGTATATATATGGACGCCTCGGGACCGCAACAGCAATGCAAGCCCCAGCCAGGAACCTCTGTCATCAAGATCTCGTCCAATAGCAGCAATGACGACATTGACAACGACGGTGGGTTTGTGTCGCTCGGTGCAGCATCACCTCACCATGCCTTGTGCCTGCTGTTGCCAGGTGTTGCGCACCTTAGGCAGGATCTTCACACCACTACCAAGCTCAGCATGCTGTTGGAGATTCCCCACATTTGAGCTGCTTTGCAGTCTTATCTGTCATGTCTGTCACGGTATCCGCAAATGTGAAGGCATCAAGCGGGAAGTACAAAAGGCTGCTATTGGATTGGTTTCTAGTCTAACTAAAAGGTTTGAGGGCATGCAGCACGAGGACTGACTGGCACGAGCATAATATGCCGCTCGAATATATGCAATATATTGTAACGGCTGCACATGGAATTCTTTGCATGGCCATGTTGCATGATGATAATTGTTTTGGGGGGTTCAAATCCTCAAATGCCAAGCCCGAGGAATTCTTTGCATGACCATTATATTGCTAATTTTTTGGGGGTCAAATCCTCAAATCCCGACGGGATTTGGCCCGGAGATCCTTGGGAATTCATGAGGTCAAATTCCGCGGAATCTCGGCCGAGATTGCAGCGGGCATAGTATGCTAGATGGAAACTGTGACTGCGGGACAGAGGTCACACATTTACATAATGCCAAATGAACGGGCTACAGAGCCCATGAGCCTGCATAGCTAAAGAAACGTTATTGCTTTAACTAGTTTAGCAAAGGGCTTCACGCATGAGCACCTCCGACTTCGACCTTGCCGATGATGATGACAGGACTTCCAAAAGCACCGAAATGCATAGGATTGTTGTGGAATATAGCACATAAAAGACATTGCATGGTCGACTAGAAGGGTGTGCTTGATGCCCCGGTCCACACTTTATGGGCCTCCAGGAGCCCCAAAACGAATAGCCTAGGATCAATCCATTGCAGATATATTTTAGGCGCTGGGCTGGTGGTCATGGAAGTGCTCGGCTGACAGACTCAACGAGATGGGCGCGGCCTGCACCGCCAAGCAGATGGCCAGGGCTGCACCCTTGCTGGACATGGCGCTCGGATACAAGGCGCCGGAGAGCGCATAGCAGCTGGATGGCTTTCAGATTGCTGATCATGGGAGCCCGGGAGGGGTGCTGTTGTTGCAGGGTAAGGTCAGTACAGGCAAACCAGGGCTGTCGGGTGACGGGGGCCATCAGTGGAGATGGATGGGTGCACCACCAGTTGATACATACGCAGGGATGAATCCTGATGGGGGTGCTCAGCAGTACTCCCCCTGGAGCAAGCAGGTTCAACTCCTGTCATCCTGTTCCTGTTGTCATCCGCACAGCACCGGCTTTAGGAGGGCTTGCTGTTTGATGCTGACTGTACAGTAAGTGCACAACCCCATCAGTTGTTATACTTGTATACCGTACGGGAGATTGCCATCAGCAGATGCTCAATCGCCCAACTAACACAACACCGTGACTAGGCGCATCATTGCAGGGACCAGTGGGGTGGCTATGATGATGTGGTGGTGTCTGTGGTGGTGGTGGCGGCCGCTGGCGTATCATGGTGCACCTGTCACCACCACGGCAGCTGCAGCAGTGATGACCACCCTGGCGACACAGTGCAGTAGTGTGGGCCCCGGATGGGGCTTTGTACGGGAGGGGATATGGCAGGGACCAGCTACATTTACCATAGAGTATATTAAGCTATTATTAGTGTCTCGGGTGTTCCACTCAGGTTGCAATTAGATGTGTTTTCAACAGGCCTGTTGGGTGACATGCTGTGTAACCGGTTACACAGCATAGGTAATACTGGTACCAGTATTACATAACCTGAGCATATCTAGATGTATGCACAGTGTGCATGGCAGCTGCAGGTTGGGTGGGGCCTAGGGCTCATCCTGGATTATTGATTTCTGAAGTTTATCTGGGAGGAAAATGTATCTCCCCCTGGATGGTGTAGTAGCTGGCCGCTGAAAAGGTTTTAGAAGATGCTGGTAGATCAGCTCTGCATGTATTTATGGAAAATATGCATGTGCTTCTATTTACTGCTGCAACAGTTAGCTAGCTATAGCTAGTGTACTAATACACTGTGCAAGGATGCAGCGGGCAGACTTGATGATTATAAAGCAGTGAATTTCGACTTATTCTGCAATCCCCAAACTATGCTGTATGCAGCATTATTGTAATGTTATGTAATGACCGCAGCCCATGGGCCCTCCAGCCTTTCATTATGGATGCGTCCTCCCCACACTTTTGTGTGGAACTTGTAACTTGAACTCACTTCCACAACAGCCCATGCTCACTAGTAACCAACCTAGGGTGACTAGGGTCTCCAAATATCCAAATGTCTATCCATGAACACCATTCACATTCTATCATGATTCAGCAGCAGCATTTCCTTTGCTTCCATTGATTGGTATATGATCGAGTCACATTCCAACAATCGTGAAGTTTCTTGTGTAGATTTCCTGCCTTATACCATTGGCCAATCACGCCATGATCGTATAACAGATGACGTGGAACAGGTAGCCGGAGGAGCAGGGCTGGGTTGTCACCTGTTGGAGCACAGCACGCACATACACACAATGTGTACAACGCAATGCAAGATAGCCACCTACCTGGATAGCTAGCACTTCTATGGACCGCAGCTGATGTTAGTGGCAGGCGCAGGTTAATATTGACAATATAGAACATACATGTGGGAGTGCACCTCAAATGCCTGCCAGCAGCTGGCAAGTGGCTCTGTGCCTATCTAATTTAGTAAGGAACCGCACTTGAGTGGCGCATTTATTTGTCAGTATCCATACACAAACATCAGGGTATAGAATCCTGGTACTTTTCTGAAGTCGTGGTATAACACAGGGCGCCGCATACACCTTCCCACATTTAAAGTTAACCCCACTAGCTAGTGCAGTGTGTGGCAGCGACCTTGAGCTGGCCCCCGCCCCCGCACTGCCTACCTGCAACTGTGTGTCGTACACTGTGTAGGCGCTGCTGCTGATGCCGCCCACCACCGTTACCCAGTGCGAATATTCGGAAGGGTTAAAATCGCTGATTGTAGATGCTGCACGCAGATTCACATGCACACGACACATAGTATGTTGCATGTAAATTTATGTGCAAGTCATTTATAAGATTGGGGAGTGTCTATATATCATCTATTCTCAGGACTAAATATGCATGTACGTATTATATGACACACTAATGGCAAGATCTACAAGCCATTCTGTAGCTATGAACCGATGTACGAACTATTCCTCGGTGTTCCTCGTATCACATGAGGACCCTGTCTATAGATCAATATTAACAACTTAGAGGCTTTGCAGGAATCCTACGGTAATTTGTCTATACAAGATGGTAACAATGGATTGTAGCTGGCTTGCTGGTTAATCTGCATCTTCATTCACACGTAGTAAGCTACATTTCCCTTAAGAATATTTCAACGATTACTGTTAACAATAACTGTTAATTTATTAACGATTCGACTCGAGTTTAGCACATGTTAAGAGTATCGTAACATGTCTCGAATATGGCAGCTGTTCGTAGCGAACCTAACGGGCTGGGGCCCCGGGCCCCAACGACATTATCCTAGTACAGCAGGACCGTGGTAGGGAATCTCCGGCAGGTAGGCCGAGATATAAGCTACCCAGGCGGGGTGCTCTGGCCAGACACTGAAGTATCACGACTATTAGGTATGGAGTTCAAGACTCCGCTGCCACCGACTAGACTATTACGTAAGCGTCTATGTACGCTAGTGCTTGTCGCTGGGTTGGACTTCTTCCTGCCTCGGCGAGGACTGTCAACTCTACACTTCCACAAAGCCAGTCGAACCGTCAGGTGAGCGACTGCTACACCTTCATTCTGTCTGCACCAGAAGTTGAGGAGGGCCTCATTATTACGGGCGACGGGGCCAAAGGAAAAACCTAAATTGCATGTGATACCGAACGGAGGTAGCATGGGGTTGGGAGTGCATGCATGTAAGCATGCATGCATGGCCGTGTTGCTTTGGGCTTGGTGGCCTGGCGGGGGGTGTCACTCACCTCGCTCGGGCTGGGAGTGAGAAGCAAGACTGTGTAATAAGCTTTAAGGATAATCAATAATTATACTAGCCATTCGTAGCAGGGACGACCTCCCCTGGGTGACACCGTCTTGGTGTGCCCTAGCCAAGGTGTGGCAGGAAAACCTGGCACTACTGCATGATCTCCTTAAGTGCAGGTACGGCCCCCTGTACAACAATGCCATGCGACTTCAGGCTCAAAGTCAGCTCCGGCCTTACTTTAATAGGCATACTAGGTTGCAAGAGGATTTAGTGATAAAAGGACCCACCCTGCTGTGTAATCTCGATTGCCTCCCTCGGTGATCCAAGAATGATACGGATGGGTGAGTCACGGAAGCCATCGTTCTGGCCAGATATGACACACCCATGGGTGCGAATGGTTGAAGCATCCAGTCACCAGCAAGGGCCAGCAAAGCAGGCAGGAGATTCGGATAGACAGATTGTTGAATTGCCGGAAAAGAGGTGAACGAAATGTGATCGATATGTTTAGGCAGGTGCACAGTGGGCAGGGGCAATAATAGCGCACATACACTAAGTAGCAGGCTGAGATGCGGGATGAGCTGTATGCAGAAACACAATCAGTCGGTAGCACTGCAGCATGGGTGAGTGAATGGGTGGATGTTAACAAGGCAGGCAGGAGACAAAGGTCAGAGGATTAGATGGGCGAATGGATGGATGGATGACCTCACATAAGGGGATTGATATTGCGTGCAGAACGAGGGCAATGAAAGGAAAAGATTATTCTGGCTGCTGGTGTCGCGCCTTAAGCTCATGTGCATGTAAGTTCACGGGCTGGAAACGTAGCGTTGGGAGATTCGTCCTTAGCCACCAGCAGTCAACGTAAGTATCTGCCTGAGACCGTATATGGATTGAGTTGCCACTGGCAGCTGGCAGCTGTCTCCCCAATCAAGCCGCCTTTAGGTGCACACCGATGGCTGCATACTTGATATTACCCACGTGGCACAGAACTACTGCGACCCGCCTGAATGGAATCTTCGACCTTGTGATTGAAATTCCTTTCCCTTGTCAGGTTGTGGCCTTTCCAACGATATTGCATGTAAAGGCGGCTGGTGATTACATAGGTTAACGTGCCGACACAGTACCCATGTATCTCACCTGCTTGCACAGCATGTTAGCAATCTTATCCACTCCAGCTATACCATCAGCACACAATGGCGCCCATACAGGCTCGCCGGTGCGACCATCCGCAGAGGAGTTGACCAAAAGCACGACAAGCCCATCGGGCATCCAGGGGTTTGAACCCGTAAGACGGATGAGGCGGATGAAATCTTGCATGCTGGGCGGTGGGGGTGGTGGCGGTGGCGGACCTGCAAGTGTAGGGCGGGGCAAGCAGGTAGACAACCGCCAAGGACATATTAACAGAAGCATGCATGGCTTTGTATGTTGGCCGGTTATTGCAGCACTAGCAGCAGCTATACATGGCCGTCACTGGGCCCCGGGACCCACCCAAGTGGGTGCATTCCCGCAATAACATGGAGGCGACTTACTGGGGAGAGATGGCGGCGGTGGAGGCCCATTATATTTAAACGGCGTCTCTGGGGTGGGGGGAATGGGAGGGGGAGTAGTCTCGGAGGCGGGCCAGGACAGACAGCGACAATGCAACAATAAAGCAACAATAATGTTGTAACAATAATGCAACAGGGAAGCATCATAATTAGGTGTACTTTGTTCACTTCTCCGCTGAATAGTACCCAACACTCATCACATCACTTATCGGCATGAGGCCCAAGTGGATTCAACAACTAGCTAGTACGATAGTACTGCTACTTAATCAAATTAAATAATATTAATCAGGGCGTCCCCATCCGTTGCTGCACACGGCGGCCACACAGCCAGTGCCTACCTTCGTCTGCTGTACTGGGTTCTGGGTGGCTAGTCACGTGAATGGCGCCATGCAGATGGCTGATTGCATGCAGCGAGCCGAGTTAATTTCAGATAAGGCATTGATATGCATCTCAGTAACCATGAACCGCTACTTTTTATTCTCATCTCACTAACCTTGTGCTGTATCACCACAACAGAAAAGTACCGGTGGATGTCAGGTCCTGTGATACGCCCAGAACATAACACCGTCCACTAATGCTATGTGTAGTATCTAATGCATCCGCCAATCGGTACTTTTCTGAAGTCGTGATAGGTATAAGCCTTTTCCAGGAAAGGCATCATTCCCTTACGAGTAGGAGACACATAGACACAAACACAAGTATGGTTATACGAAACTTACCAGAACATTCCATTGCTACCAACATGTTGCGGGGGCAGGCAACGTGGAACACCTCGCAAGACACCTCCTGCTGACTACTGAAATTGATCATTTGCAAGAAGAACGCATATGGCGGCCGGGAATCATTATCACCCGTGCACACCAAGTTCCCTCGGAGCTCGGGCCTGTGAAGAGGAGTGTTGGGGTTGCAGGTACACCAGGGTCCGTAGGTCAGGGGTCAGTGGGCCATCAGGGCTCATTAAGCCAGGGTCAAACAGGACGCGGATGAATCCAGGATGCCGTGGATCCGGCAGGGTGACGAGAGGGCGCGAAGGATTTCGGGCAGTAAGGTCCGAAAGAACAGTCTAGACCTGGCTGGCCTGCACGTTGGGTGTGGGGCCATCGGACTCAAGCAACCAAGTAAGCTCTTCACGAGTGACTTCATGGTCGCTGTACTTTTCAAACAGCAACATAAGAACAACCGAATAGCGCATATCTTGGGCTCCAATCAATTTGCTGCAATTTACGGGCATTGCAGCAGGTGTGCGTGTGTAGGTTGCATAGATTGGAATGCAAACATGGTATGGCATGTGAGGAACAACAACAGGGTCAACTTCCTTCACAATTCGAAATGCCACCACTAAAGCCGCCGCAGTGTTGCCATGCAGCCAGAATGCATGTGGCTTGTGCAGTAGCTGTACATAGTACGGCACACATGTCGTCTATTAATACACGCTAAGGCGCTCTGCAAGCATCTCCGGAGTCCATATGGCATATAATTGTCATTTTTTAGAAAGGAACAAAACATGAACAACTGATCAGGTGCCAGCTACTGCCCTTGGCTGTCGGCCGCTTTTGCAAAGTAGATAATTGCCTTGGCAGCTGCTTGGATTCCATTCCCCCTAGCCGGCTAGCACAGTCGCAGCAGTAACTTTAATACTACCTCAGCCTCAGGATCCAGGTCGTGAGAGGCAGGAGCACAGAATGGATCCGTCCATCCACATGCACACAAAACACGAACAAACTTACGGATCGGATTCATCGGGGCCATAGGTGCTGATGCCTTGGGCATAGAACTGGCGGCCATAAGAGTAGCCCAACATCTTGCAAAAGAGCTACTTGAGCACATGGAGGGCCATGAATCAATGACCGAGCCGTTTGAAGTTCCCACCAGCCAACGGAAAGCATACACATCCAGCACCGAGTAAAGACACCATGCGATGGGGAGGAAAGGAGGCAGGGGAGGCAGGGTACCAGCTGAGTGAGGGATTGGACGCCGTTGTAGCATAAATGCATGAGATGGGGGGATGGGGCCAAATACGCCAGTAAACATTTTCATCACCTGTAGGCGACACCCTCATGGGACGGTCCCTACCTACTACACAGAGGTGTCACCCATAGGTGGTCAAAAGTTTTCCTAACGTACTTGACCACAAAAACCACGATGTGTGTGCATTCTGTAGGCATGAAATTGTGGAGTGAACCCCATGTTTCCAGGTATATTCGGGGTAAGCACTTGGGGATTTGTGGTGGGAAAAAATGTGTATATCTGCCTGCCTGCATCTCTGCCGATGCAGTCACATACAGTACGGCGCGCTCATCATCTACAAATAAACGCTAAAGCGCTCTGCTACCAGTACCTTACTTAACTGATTTTCTTTATATTAAGCCGGTGGCTTGTAACTACTGTAGTACTGTATTCACACATGTAGTACACTACATTTCTCTTACAATATTGCAACGGTTGTCGTTAACAATAACCGTTAATTTCGTTGATTTTCGATTTAAGTTTCGTACATGTCATGTACTATTGTAACATGTTGCCAAGACGTACTATCGTGACATGTCACAAAAACGGCAGTTGCTCGTAGCGAATCTAACTGGCTGGGGCCCCGGGCCCCACCAACATTATCCTAGTACGGCAGGAACGTAGTAGGGAATCTCCGGCAGGTAGGCCGAGATGTAAGCTACCTGGGCGGGGTGCACTGGCCAGGCACTTCAGTATCACGATTACTTGGTGTTCGGTGTTCAAGACTCCGCTGCCGCTGTCTTAGTTGTTTTGTACTTGTCCATGTACACTAGTGCTTGTCGCTGGGTTGGACGTCTTCCTGCCTCAGCGAGGACCCTGAATTCCACGCTTCCGCAAAGCCAGTCGTCTCACCAGGTGAGCAACTGCTACAACGCATGATTGCATACATATGCATGTAATAACCCACCCCGGCCTCGTAGGCAGTGAACGTGCCATCATCACATAGAGCAACCCATTCGTCGGGATAGGTCAGTTGCACCTCCAGCCGCCCAACATTTCCCGCTGTCCCGCGAACCAATCGGAGGCCACCTTCTACAAGCAGATGACGGATAAGGAAGAGTCGCAGCAGTGGCCAGATCAGAACATCATTGAAAAGCATGCAGCACACGTAGGTTCGGGAACCATACCAGCAGACAGCCTCTGCTGTCACTCAGGGAGGGCTAAAAAGCAGAGGAGGGCTCCTGAGAGCCAGCTGAGCAGCAGGGCTCCCTACATACATACAATTAACGAATTTGGTGCCGATGTGTTTGTGGGCCAGGTAACTAGACGGCGTGTGAGGAAGAGATGCATGGTCTTCCTGCAATATAGTGTGGCTGGTGGCCTGCTGTATAGCGCTTTATGCATGTCCAGTGGAGTGTGAACATTGAACCAGACCAAGGAGCCATACACTGGGTAATAATAATTTAGTTAGTTGGAGGAAAGAAAGAGGGATATTCATATGCTCACCGGGTGGCGGGGTAGGGGGAGGCGGACGGGGTGCCTTGTTTGGGCGTGGAGGGGGTGGAGACAGGCGAGGCGGTGGCGAGCGCGGTGGTGGCGAGCGTGGTGGTGGCGGGCGCGGTGATGGCGGGCGCGGTGATGGCGGCCGAGGTGATGGCGGCCGAGGCGATGGCGGCCGAGGCGATGGCGGGCGAGGTGATGGCTTTGGAGGTTTCGGCGGTAGAGGGGCGCCTTCCACGGCACCCAAACCTATACCCGCAAATGCAGTCGGTGTAACGGAAAGGATGCTCAGATGATCCTGGATAGCCAGAAGCATCCTAACAAGGTGCGAGCTAACGAACCTACAAGGTTGTTTTACAAGATCATTTCTCTCTCACTCCCACGCACGCATAGCAAAGGTGGTCAAGAGTAGATCGGTCAGAGTCAGCAGCAAGAACATTACCAACCAGCAGCACATTACGAGGATTGGGAACGATTAATACTGCTGCTGGCAACGATGGCCAATGACCAGGAGTGTCTGCTGCTTTAGACATCGGCAAAAGGAGTATTCCTGCTTTCGGTAATGGATCCATCCCGGTTTCGGAAATGGGTCATTGACTGCCGGCTCCGGCCGTCAGGCTACCCTTCGGGCTGTGTATCCGGAATTATCGTTTACTGCGGATGATCCTATTTCTGCAAGCGGGTCGGCTCCGGGAATTCTATTTCTGTTTTCGGGAATTTCGGTACCGGACCCGAAGAGCCCGAAGTGTTTGATGATGTCAGCGTTGCTTCATAGGCCGCTGGAGTACATTGAAATCGAAATTTCTGAGATAGAGATTAGGGACCCTTACCGGCGACAGCAAGTAGGACAGCTGCCAGCGTCAGCACTAGCACTGCTGACCGGCCGGAAGTAACCTGCGCTCCAAGACTCCTATTCCTGCTGCTGGGCACCGCTGCCATTGTTTGAGAGGCGCAAGCATACAGGGCGCACATGCCCACCTGCAAGACCAGAGGCATCAACCCTAAGGTTCGCAATAAACTGCAAGAATGCATTAGTTGTGCAAATACAAGTCTAATCTTACCGTCATGCCTGTGTCTTCTTCTTTAGTTCGAAGTAAGCTTATTAAGTCAGGTTTATGCTTAAATGATTTGTGCTGCACTAACCGTACACCGGTGCTTACCGGGATAAGAAGCCGCTGCTGTTTTTTCTTCTTTCCTTCGGGCTCTGAGGACGAGCTTCGGAAGTACAACAAAAAATAAATCCGTTGGTGATTTTCAGGAAATGTAATTATTGCGCTATTGAACGGTTCGATTTGGGAGGGGCGACCGCCCGCCAGGAGTTCTCAGGCAGCGCCAGTGAAGAAGCGAAGAATCATCGGCAGTCCAGCCAGCGGTTGGAAACAAAGTAACGTTTCCTTAACTTGGCGAGCAGCCTGTGAACTGCTAACCACACACCCATGCATGGCCGCCAGAGGAAAAAAAGCATATTGGTGAAACAAACGAATACAATGATTATTAAAGTACGTAAAATCCAGCGCGCTTTTGAGAGCGCCGAGAAGGTTCATAGTAAAATTATCGCCAATTAATTTTGTTATGTCATTAATGTATTGGGTAACTCTATTGACTTCAAGTGTACGAAGGAGTGGTAATAGCTAAACTAAAGAAACAGGGGTATTGCCTCTTCCAGAGGGTTGCAAAAACGGTCTAATCCCCCAATCCCGGGGGGTGGTAGTGGTCAGCCATCCCCCCATCCTGGCTGGGGTGACCGACTCCCATCTCCCATCTTAGGGGCCCGGTGCTAATCCCATCCTTTGAGACAGGTTTCCCATCCTGCCAGCCTGGGTCCCATCCCCAATCCTATGGCCAGGGTTTCCAATCCCATCCTGCAGCTGTGTTCCCCCAATCCTCATCCTGCCAGCCAGGGTCCCTTCCCAATCCCTTCGACCAGGGCCATCCCCATCCTGCAGCTGTGTTCAGATCCGAAAGCTGTCAGCCAGGGTCCCATCCCCATCCCTTGCCAGCTACAAACCTACTCCTTACGTTTACACAGGTGCTGTAATATCGGCTTTCTCTTTAGGCGTAAATCAGGGGAATGACCAGGGTTATTTTCTATTTCCGCGAGATATTTTTCTCTTGCTCTATGGCTTATTTCCTCTAGCGTCAAATTCCGCCCCGCTGTGTTCGTTCCGAAGCAGACTGAAGCGACAAACGCTTGTTGAAGCGGATCTCGACTGAGGAAGAACTCGCATCACAGAGGTCTACGTATCTAATTGCACACTGGCTGCTATTGCAAATCGCGCGTCCTAAGGGGGGAAGGACTGTTATGTTCGAAGGACGGCCACAGCAACAAATTATAATGCTGTGGTTAGAATGGCAGAACGTACAAGGGTGTTCTGTCAAAATGTCCATGGCTGGGAACGTGCACCATTGGTTCAGGTTCATAGCGCAGGAGTTCAGCTGCACATTCCGGCGCCAACATTCCACGTTGGGTGCGCCAAAGCGCTACGATAAACAACCTGATAACATTACATCAAGCCAGACAGTCCAATTGGAATGCTTTTGAGTCGACTTGGACTTCTGCGCAAGAATTGCTCCTATGCACTATAATGTGCAGAGTTACGTGGAGTTGTGCCACAACAAAACAATACAGACTGCAAACTTTCTCAGAGTTGTGCATACTGGCTTGGGAATGCGGTGCGGCATGATGCGGCCAGCATCT